TATATCTCATGTAGAAATAAAAATGAAAGAATACCAATGAGGAAACCATGGCATGAATGGTTAAATAAAGGCAAAGGCAAAATCATTTATTTCAATTAGACCACAGCAGGCACTTTTGAACGTCAGGCAAAAAAAAAATGTTTTTCAAGAGCTTTAACTTAAAACGTGTCAATCTGTCCGTCTGTCCTCTAGTGAAGCTATTTGCTCGTTCCAAAGTGTAGATTCCTATGGAGAAGAACGAGCAAGAAACTCCATGGTTACTCTTTTTCAATACATTTTTAAATTAACAAACAACAACAAATTAAAAATGTTTCACTTTTCTTTATGCTGATTTTAAAATACATACCTACTGATTTCTCTGCGAGAATTATTTTACTATCGACTTTATCAGCTCAATACGATATCAATCTCTTGATAAAAATACGATTTTATTCACTTTTCAGTCGGTTTCTACAGTAGAAGGCGACACATTCGCCTTATAACTCACCTAGTGTGGTGTGGTGTTTAGTGCCCGATCATATGTTTAGAAAATAATATTAAAAAAGTTAATGAAATCTACCCGAAATGGCTAATAGTGATTATGCTATGAATAAGGCAAGTTTCCGTAATTCGGTAATGTATATTTTAGGAATTGTTTTTTTTTATTTTGTTTTTCATGAAAAAATATTTTCATCAAACCATTGTTTTAATGAATTAAAATATTTTTCATAGACAATACGAAGGGACGTTTTCAAAAAATAACCACAGAGTCTATGTAATGTATTTATAGAATAGATTTCTCAAAATGTTAATGTTTAAAAAGTTTTTTCATTTTCTTCATTTACGAAAATGATCTTTTTAATGACATAAAGATATTTATACTTTTAAATAACGACAAAATGTTAAATGATTATTCGATATTAGTGGTTTAAAACGTTCAGTCAAGAGTTTTAGTTGCCATTAGGTTAAAATAATTATTTTGTAAGATGTACTGCTTATACTAATATGTTTTGTCGAAGCACAGCTGTTTTAGCTGTAGTGTTTTGTTGATAATTTGTGATACAAAATGCAAGGATGACAATTAAAAGATTTAAACAGACATCCCCGTCAAAGAAATTGTTATTATATTTTGTACGAACTATCGACTAGCAAATATTTTAAACAATACCCACTTGTTTTATGATAAAATCTTAAAATAAATAAAAACGCTAATTATTTTAAAACAAAATCGATATGTCAAAATATTTTGTAATCTACAAATAAAAAAATACGCGATAGTTACGATAAACGATTATTTCTCTCACTACATTTTGATTTGTTTATTATAAATAAATCAATTTCCAGTAATATTGGCCCACATTACGAAACACATATGTACAATGTATCTATCTATCATCATCAGAAGTAGATACAGTACATATTTACTTGTTTCTTGCACTAGCATTAACATAGATTTGCAGAGAATGCATATGTGACGTCATAGGAGTTTTTCACTAGTTTTCACCGAAGTTTAGTTGGCATTTTTGCATCAATAAACTTATTATGTATTTAACACTAGATACCCGCCTCAGCTTTGTGCAATATTGATATTAAAATTCTACTATTGGATATACCTCTCTCTTCAATCACTTAATCTATAAAAAAAACGCAACGCAACGCTCTATTCAAGCATACCTAGTGACGACTACGTAGTGATGCCAAAACTTTTATGTAAGTGATCAATATAAATATTTCTTCTATGCTCTCGAGTCGAACAATGTAACGACAACATAGAATTTAAAATGGTATTCTAATTTCGATTGCCAGATAATAAGATCGCACGATAGCCTAAATAAACTCCACTGGATAATCGATATTTTATCACTTATCATAGTATAGTGATTTACAAATGTCGTAGGCCATTATCAGTTATCAACGATTCTACTGCAAATCTATATGTGATCGATAACATTAAATATATACAAATTATAATGACAATATTATGTTAATTTTTTTGATATAAAACTGAATCCAAATCATATACATATATAAAAATGAATTTCTGTTCGTTAATCTCGCTCAAACTCGAAAAAGACTGGACTGACATGGTCTTAAAATATTCCCGTATATGCAGAGAAGTTTCAAAAGGTCAAAAAAAAAAACAAAATATTTTAAACGGTACGAAGTTTATAGAAAATCTAATCTAAAACTTGAAAATAACCCGGTAAGGTTATTTTCAAGCCACAACGGGTCTCTTATTCATGCCGACTATGATTTGATTTGACTTGAAAATAACCTTACCGGGTTATTTTCAAGTCACAACGGGTCTCTTATTCATGCCGACTATGATTTGATTTGATTTTCTATAAACTTAGGATGTCTCACGATAGTTACTACATATTTAGTATAGTTCTGATGGCTGGTTTAATCGGTGAAAAGTTTATATTCATGTGCGAACTGCGAACGTAAATAATATATAGTTCAACAATGAAAATAACTTCGATCATTTGTCTTATAAAACAAAAATTGCAGTTTTCGAATTACCTCCGACACCATTGGTATTGGCAGATGTAGGGAACAGTGATCTCATCTTACCATTAGACGAGCTTTATGCTTTGTTCCTGTTTGATGCTTAGAGGCATTATATTTCTTTCGTTTTCTTTTATTTAACGTCATCTTCTAATTGCAAATTACCTTTTCTTTCCATGCTATTGGAGTAGTCCTCATAAAATCTATCCATCTCATCTTTCGTCGTTTTTTCTCTCTATCCTGCAACATCTCCATTTTCAGTATCCTTTTGTTCATTATGTGAGTTTTGACCGATGATAAAGGATGATCATCGCAATATTTTTAAGTTTCTCTAACTCTTAACATCTGCAATGTTATTCAAGCCCTTTTTCAGCTGATCGTCCTTTTTTACTTTTTTGTGTTACTAACCGTAAAATTACGGTACCAACCGTAATTTTACGGTTAGGAAAAAAGTGGTTATATTTTTGCTTCATTTCATTTACTTCAAATTACAGCTCAGTGAAATCACAGTAAAATAATTCTACAAAAATAATAATTCTGTGAACATATTTCACTATAATGTCAATCACATTTTTTAATAGCTAGAAAAAAGAAATCTTTCTAATTCATTGAGATTGAAAATCAAACCAAAGCAGTTAATAGTTCCTACGCTAATATTATTTACAACCGCCGTTCAATGAAATAAAGGATTAACATGCATTTTATCAAGAAATACAGAGAAGAAAAAGTTGTCCTTATTCGTACGATGCTCGTAAAGAAATTTATCGATTTTGAAACAATAATGTAGGCAATGGAGATTTTATCGATTCAAATGGTAATCGACGTATAAAAATCACGTTTTACGTTATCGATAAGGATTTTTGTACGATAAATTTATTGACAGACATGATTCAGATCTTGTTGTTATAACAGATTTAAGCAATTTTTGAATAATAACTATCGTGAAACATACAAAAAAAAAATATCCACTTGACTAAATCGAGAAAAGCGTTCTTATTACATAATATCATAATTAATTCAATACATCAAAATTTATCACAACTCTCTGAATCATAAAAACTTTTATTCATGAGCAACGTGCGCGTCGCGTCTATTACGTGTTGCCAACTGATGAGAGTCTCGTTGTGATTTAAAACTAGGAGACTAAAGACTAAAATTTAAAACCTTTTCAATAAATTCCGGTTGAAGCTCTTTAAGAACTGACACGTGTTCATAATATATTTCATCCCATGTTCATGTGTTTCATGTAATTTTTTTTCTTTCGAGATTTTAACAACCATACTTCAAATGCCTATCAAGAATAGGCATTTGAAGTATGGTCTTTTTTTTTAATTATAACAAATACTTACCCCCTCTTTCGTGATCTGAGGAAGTAGTATTTAACGTCGGGGAACAATTGAGAACTTGCTGGTGACGTCACTCCTACATTAAAATAAAATACAAACGTAGTTGCACGCCTGTTTAATGCTAAGCCTGATATCACACCAGTCGAACCAATCTGTTTGAGCCAAAACATGACACTTTATTAAGTAAAATATGACGTTGTTATGTTTTGAACTGTATATCGAAAAGTTCATCAAACTTGGTAATATGTACAATATTATCTACATTGTTGAAGTACTTCACTTAGTTCATTAACTGTTATTCATCTCTCGATGACTCGATTGACGAAGACAGATGTGTTATGTGCATGGTAAGTTTGAGACGATTTCTGATTATCGTGATAAAAATATTAAGACATAAATTGTTTTATCATTATCGTCATGACTAAAAGACACTTCATAAAATAGGCCTAAATTAAATATTTTTTTTTAAATGTCAATTTTTTTTTTTTATTTTCTTGGACCAGTGTATATATAGCCACTATCTCGCTTAATGACTAGTGGTGAAGTGATTAACGAATCAAACTACCAACCATGTTTTTCAAAATTTTAACTGATAATGACTGTCCTACCTAACCTATCCAAGTACTTGAAGAAGAAATGCTGAAGGAAACTCATCATGTTTTAGTCACAAAGCCATTAAGTTAACTTTATTGTAATAAAAATACAATATTAATTATTGTTTTGGTAGACATGACATGTATTATGATGATGATATAGAAAAAAGAGATAATGAGCTCTTATCAGATAAGAATAGAGTCACAACTAGTAGTACTAGATTTTATAAATGAACTAATATACATAACTCACGCCTTTTTATCAAATAATTTGACTATAGTTAATGTAGTGTATATTATACAATATAACCAAAATCGTAATTAGATACAGCTTTAAACCAAATACATTTACAAATAACTCCTAACGTTGATGTGTGAAAGTGCTGTTTTGTGACCTATTTACAAAAATACAGTCTTTGTTTCATTGAGTCTTCTGAATCAACTTAAACGCTGGGAAGACCCAAAAATAATGTCTCGTTTACAGAAAGAAACGAAGTCAATAAATTGCGTAGTAATAAAAGCTGATGAAAGTCAGTACCAAAAACTGAATCATCATCTACACTGTGTGGTAGTATGCTGTATACGTGAGGAGATCTTTTCATGTAAACTATTCTATAGATCATTTTTTAAATATAATTAATTAATGTAAAGCCTAAGAGTAAGAACAATTCAAGTTGACTTCACAATCTTAATATAGCTGAAATGAGGCAAGAAACAGCTCCGTAACAAATTCGATTAAACATCAATAGGTTGCCATTAATACTGAAGGAAAGTTCGAACCTGTTCACTCGGTGATCCAATAATGCCGGCGAAACTGCTTCACTTGTAAACTCCCGCCTAATGTATTCCTAAACCGGTGTCTTAGTTCTGTAATCACCAATAAAGTAATTACGTAAACTTTGTGCGGACGCGAAAATCGGGAAGTGTTCCAAAACTTAATCCATTCAAACAAGGGAATAATCGTTCTCATTAAAATGTAAATGCGTCGGATTGTGACGAGAGCTTCAATGGAGTCACCCGAGTTTTCCTTCGATACGCTTTTCCGCTTTTCAAATAATATTATGCAGGAGTCGGTATTATTCTCCAAACTAACGGCTAACTTCTTGCCCACATACTTTATGTTTGCTGCGGAACAGCGGAGTGCTTGGAGTTGTTTCTCCTTCCTTACTATGAAAACTTTTGGTAATTCAGCAATCAACGTACTAATAATAAGTTTGAGCGCTGGCCAATTATTCCATAAATATTCTCAACCAAAGAAAAGCAATATACCTCACGATATTTTTACTAATACATTTTATTTCATTATAGTCTGAGCCAAATGGAAAAGCAGCGTCGACTCCAGGCAGTGAGACTCCTGAGAGAGCGAATTGGGGACGACCTTTGGAGTTTATCCTCGCCTGTCTTGGATACGCCGTAGGTTTGGGCAACGTTTGGAGATTCCCTTACCTGTGTTATAGAAATGGAGGCGGTAAGTAACATCAATATATTTATACTTAATTCCGGCTTAAAATGAATGAGTGTTTTTACAATGTAGTCCTGACTTGTCCATGCTCCCAAATAAAGTAAAGAAACATTTTTCGCAGTGAACCGAATAACTTCCATAAATAAGTTTTCATACAAACGACAACAACCAAGAGCCATAAAAAATAGACAAAAAAGTATATTCCATCCCAAAAACACGTCAGCGAAGGACGAGAAAATAATAATAAAAGTGAAGAGCCAAACAAAAAACAAATAGCCCTGAATCAATATGAATTATTTATTGAATCCCTATCGCCCAATAAGGCCTTCCTGTCAGTTTCCATTCGTTCCGGGACTTAGAGCCAAAATTTTACTAAATAATATATTATTTACGAAACGCTAAGGTGCTAGTCGCGCTAGCACTCAGATAACCATGATTTTAAAATCTATTATTGTTAGGTACTTTTATGTCTGCTTTAAGTAACTTCGAATTTCATGGTTGCCGGGAATTTAAACCGACCATTTCTTTTAAAAAAGCGTGTATTCAAAACCCGACAGCAATCAACGTGTACTATCTAATATTATTGAGACACCACTGACAGACGATGAACATCGTGAGGATACTTAGACTTTTCTAACAATTTCTAAATATAAGTTTCAAATCACCAATCCGCCTTGAGTAAACATTGTCATTAATACAAAAGGCCTTTGCCCAGCAGTGTCCATTTATAGACTGGTGACGATTTTGTACTTTTATTTATCGATGGTTTTCAATGTTCAATTTTATTACGCTAAGCTAAAACAAAATCTGTTGCCTTTTGAGGAATTATATTAGAAGTTTTGAACAATTAGATTTTTGGACCTTTGGTCTGGGCACGGGTAAGATTGGTGGTCATTTAAACGTTACAGTGGCCTTTGGTCCAATTTTGTACACAAACGAAAACGACTTAATATTTTAGACATAGTTTTTCGTCTTCTTATCAAAGTAAATATACCATTAAGGCTGGGTGTACAAAACCTGACTAGATCCAATGTGTCCAAAAGATCTCTGTCCTTAAAAGATAACAAAATAAATAAAAAAAGAAGAAGAATGATTAACATGTATTTTTTTCTTTTGTTTCAGGTGCTTTCCTTATTCCATTCTTCCTCATGTTACTCTTCATTGGATTGCCTATATTTTACTTGGAGCTGTACATTGGCCAGTACACAGGAATAGGACCCTTGCAAGCCTTCACTGCCATTTCTCCATTCTTTAGCGGCTTAGGTTATTGTACCCTCGTTGTGATCTCCATTATTTCGATATACTACATGATCATCGTCGCCTGGACCTTGTTTTACACGATTGTGTCCATCGCTGGCAACCTTAATTGGGGTTATTGTGATAACGATTACAATACTGACGGTAAGGATAAACATTTTAAATAAATAAAGTCGGTCTTATACATTTAGATACCAGTATTGCCTAAATGACCTTGGAATGGTTTTTGTGGGGGTAAAATCATTAAATGACTTCCCCTAACCAGGATGAGCAAAATTTCAGTAGTATAATAGTAGTATCAGACGCTTACTGACTAAAAATACCTCGTTCCTTCTTTTTCTCCAAGCCGAGGCTGGGGTTCCTCATTGCACTTGCCCCGCAGCGGTGGCTGACTTTGAACTGGCCTGTGATAGGAAAATGTTCAATGGTATTCCATCTTCAGTAGGTCTTGAAAAATGTAAACGTATCTGCAATAGAAAAAGTAATAACGCAACAACACTGGTCAAAAATAACTTAGGATTCCACAAGGGAACAAATTTAATTGAATTTTATTGTTATATGTATAATATTGTATGCATTTTTTTCTACCAGCCTGCTACAGTGGGAAATACGACAACCATTGTAGAGAAAATAACACAGGAGCCGCCTCGGACCTTACCTACTATCTCCGGAAATGTATCAGCATTGGAGATATCTGTGAACTAACCGGCTTCCAACCTTATGATGGCACGCAGTGTTTGAACGGGACGGAACCAATCCCATGGTACACAAATGCAAATAGGATCTTGGCGTCAGAGGAATATTACAAGTAAGTTTTAAATGTATCAATGATAACATATTAATTTAGATTTTCGGTGAGAGAGACATGCTTCGGCACGAATGGGTTGGCTCGACCTGAGTGATATTACGGTCTTACAGAAAACCGATGTGCGTTGTGTATCGCAATGCGAGTGAGGTTATCGGAGACCAAATCTTTCGCAATCCACAAATCTCTAACCTGAAACCCCATCGCTGATAAACTACCATCAGGTGATCCTTACATACACCGATTTTCCCATCCCTCCCTTCCCTCCCATAAAAATAAACAATTTTATTTCATCATTTTCCATGCTCATAAACAATATTGTAATCAAAACTTAGTACATTTTCACCGGTTAGGTTACAAAATAAATTTGTCTTATGATAAAAATCCGATAAGTAGGTATAATATCAGCGTACTCAGCAAAAAATAAAAAAGTATGTGTATTTGTAACCGATAGGAGAAGTGGTCAACTAATTTCTTTTAGTGTTAACTGAAATATATCTGCAAAACAATTTCAGATTTTTAAAATAAAACCCTAATAACACTTAATACGGATTAAATCCAAAAAACAACTATTATAATATAGACATAATATTTATATTCAAAACGATAGCTATTACTATCATAGCTACTTGAATTAAAATTGTTCGTAAAATAATTATTTACTGATATCAAGTGTTCTGACCTTTTATAATCAGCCAACAGCCACTGTTCACTGTTGATAATTTTAATTATATTTATCAGATTAAATTGATAAAATACTCGTGGTGCTGTGACGAAACTGTAACATTTAGGTAATATTGAGCTTTATTCGTAAATGCACTTAGTTCTGTTTTCACGAAGCACGTGGAATTTTTGAATATATTTTATTTTATCGTAATTTAACTCTTAATATTTTTAAGAAATATAACCTATATTTATTTGTGTACTTACTGAAAAATAACTTTATTTCAGCAATTTGATAAGACATATTTTCAATTACCGGTAGCATTCCTTTATCGTTAGTCAATTATCATTTGAAAATTACTATTGGTGTTAGTGGCTATGACTGCTTCTTTAATACACTAACTTTTTACTAAAAAAAATGAACCCAAATTATGTATTACCAAAATATAGGAAGCAGCGACACTTTATCAGTTTTATCTTAACTGAAATTGAAGGTACATATGTAGGTATATAAATACTTCAAATACTATCCTAACAGATTAGACGCTTCAGTAATATTTTTACCATTATTGCATTTCTAAAATTGTATGTGACGTATTTTATCTATGGATTATACTAAACTATGTTTATCCTTTTTACTTGTCGTTATCAAAATAACACAGATAATAAAATACAGCTGTTGCGTAGACAACGAATAAATTAACGATTATGACTCAACTCTCTTGAAATACCCAGTCAGTCCATAATATTTAAAAAAAAAATTATTAATAAAAATAAAATGTTTCAATTTAAAAAAAAATATAAAAGTAGCAATATAAAAGAAATGAAAAATTTAAAACTATCTTAAATTGTCTACATTGGAGTCTACTATAGCACTGTGAATGAAATATCAATGAAAATTAAATAGCATTACTTGTTATATACTATTATATTTATTCTAGGTTGTATACATATAGTATCCCTTAGAGTAAGCCAAGCACAATTAATTTAAAATAAATTGAATAAAAATTAATAGATGTTTTATTATCTAATAAATACTCAATGAATAATGTATTAGACGACTTATCGTTATAATTTCCTATAATGCTTATCAACCTATCTTTTTCTAATGACACGATTCTGGATTTCCCTAATTTCGCCATGATGACGTATTATTGATTATGATTAGTGCGGAATGGTGAGGCAAACGTGTTATCGGTAGATTGGCATACATTTTGCGCGCGTAAATCATTTCGTAATTATTAGGATGTCATCAGTAATTAATAAATATTAACACTGACCATTAATTTTAATGTTCTGTGAATGGTTTTACAAGCTTGTATTTTTTAGTTGACATTTGATTATTACTAGCTACCATTTACCCATAATTCAGCCTACCCATATGCAATCTATTCACTTACGCCTTGAAGACAACCAGGTAGATAGAAGGTACCCTTCGAGGAATACAGACTCTCTTATAGAACTCCTTAGCGGTTCTGATGATAAAACTGGTGGCGAATCGTCTCGTGCGTGTGGGTAGAATATATGCCATGAAGCGCAGGCATTTTGCCAATTATCTGGTGTAAAGAAAGGACAAGCCGTGCGAAAAGTCTTATTTTGAGCATTTGTTTCCATAAGTTCATAAAAAAAGCAGGGCAAAACGTAGCCTTTGTGTTATTCCAGACTGCAATTTAACTCTACACGACATTTAGTACTTTTTAATTTTCCTTGAAAAATAACAAACATCCAAACATCCATCCATCCAGTTAGCGGGATAGGAAAATAAAAGAAAATTTAGGTAAGTTTAGTTAATAATAAAATATATTAAGTAAAAAGAAAATATTCGATATCAAAAATATTATGTTGTTAACATTACCGCCTCATAAGGCTACTTACACAATACTACCATCGATCATTATTTACAAAAAAAATACATTTAACTTAAATTACAGAAATTATAAAATAAATCTGTTGCCAAGTCCAATCCTAATTCTTAGCGCCCCAAAAAACTCCTAATTCTTATCAAATATTTGTTCAAATCTCAAGAAGGATCAAAAAAAAAATATATAAAAATTCCTTAGGTATTTAAGATCAAAAAGTATTCATTATGATCAGCAAATTTATAATATCTCTACACGCAGTTCAGACTCAATAATAATGAAGTACGCTTGCTCTGATAGCACTAACATTAATAGTTACATCTTAAAAGATATTGAACTCTATGAGAAAACTATAAAATTGAAAATTCAGTAGCTTAATATTGTGTAATTTGACGTGCTATACCATCCTTATTAAGAACGATAATTATTTAAAGTTGACGTCAGCAGTGACCAGTCGTGGTAAAAAACAGATGTTTATTAATAAGCGGCCAAGATTTATGAAGCATATCGGTAATTATCTAGTTAGGTTTATTGAACTATAAAAAGAAGACATTGATTAACCAAATTAGTAGGTCTTTTCAATCGAAAGGAAAAAAAGGCTCATAATTTCACTTAAAAAAAAAACGTTGCTCCTCTCTCGAATTTTCACTTGCCTCTTGGGTATTATGATTTGACATAGACTTTGTGATGCATATCGTCACAGACCCGGAACAATCATTGTTTATGGTTCACTCAAAATTGTTTGGTTTGATATCTGCTGCATCGCTTCACCATCTACCCACGCACATCCATCTCCATCATATTTTTTATATATTTATAGAACAGGTTGGCAAACAATCTAACAGATCACTTGATGCTGCCCATGGTCACCCATTTGGAGGTTAAGAGTACGTTGTCGACTTTTTGGGACTTAGACATTTGGGGTATGGGGGTGGGATAAATAAAGGGTTGGGTATTTTCAAACCTCACTCACGCAGTAAAAGAAAACAGAGGCGTTGTTTCACATAATTTCCTCTGAAGCCCTGGTGTTTTACCAGTTAAATTGGAATCCCATTTATGCCGAAGCATAGCTTTCCTGCGCTTGAATATCGTTGGCAGGCAACAACTGTATTTTTCACTAAACTTTCTGCCTGGCACAGCTAAGACCATTTGCTGATTTCCAAAATTATTCTTATATAAATTATTTTGCTTTCAGTGAACGTGTATTGGGCAGGGGTGATTCCACGTGGGAGAACTGGGGCTCAATACAATGGCATTTAGTAGGATGTCTCGCATTATCATGGCTTATTGCATTCTTCTGTGTTATCAAGGTAAGAATCAACATTCAAAAAATTCTCTAATATCTTTCAGTAGACTCTTACTATCTTGCAGTTACTAAGGGATCATTAATACGGCAGTAGAAGTCAGTAGAGGGACGACGGCAGTAGAAGTCAGTAAAGGGAATCTAAAGGGGTGTTCCACTTCCAGGTTAAATACAAAGCAAAAAAGTAATTCGTCTTAAATTAAAAAGATGATTGATTGTTTATTCCAAAAAATATAACAAACTAGGATCCAGAATACAAAAACTTATTTGTTTTTCTCAGGGGGTCCAATCAGCTGGCAAAGTGGTGTACTTCACTGCTTTGTTCCCCTACGTGATGTTAACAGCTTTAATGATCCGAGGAGTGACTCTGGAAGGAGCTGCTGATGGAGTCCTGTTCTACTTGTCGCCGGATTGGAACACCCTGCTCGATGCTCGAGTTTGGGGTGATGCTGCTTCACAGGTAATTGTGATTTCAGTCTTGATTGCTTACTTGATTAAATAATCTTCATCATATTTATTTCATTCATCATCAGATTATCCATTTGCCAAAAGCAATCCACTGTTCCAAAATCCATTATAAAAAATTGCACTAAAATATTACGTCAATGTGACCCGAAAATCGTTTATCTCATAGTTATTAACTTCAATTAAGGTTCAGAAAATTTTTAGATTAATGATGTTTACAGCCCTAGAGCATTAAACAAACTAATTTACCGAAAAAGCTTTAAAGTTCCAAAAGCCTTTTAGCTAATCGAAAGAGTTGAATATCAAAAAACTCACATAATTCAGTTACCGCAAGAATTTTATGCAAAAAAGAGCTTAAATGAAAAACTTCTCGAATTTAACTAAAATTAGTTAAAAGACATTGCTAAATAAAAGCTATTTGGAGACCTATTAATTTTTTCTAAAAGTTTGTAAAGTAACATTAGTCCTTCGAAGCAATCGATTCATAGGAAACTTTTTTGTTTATAACGACAGCCATTATTTTATGAGTAAATAAATTGGCCCCTAATTAGCTGGGAATATTTGAGAGCTCGCCTTTTATTTTTTTTCCAGACTACAATTTTACTGTTAATCAAAAAGTTTTCTGTATCTTTTAAAGTGTGATGTTTATTAATATATTTTGAGTGTATTGATGGTTTTGACTATACGGTAAATGCAATGCTTCATAATCATTAGCCTATAAGTGTCCACTGCTGAGCAAGTGCCTCTTCAACCATGGAGAAGGTTTACCACGCCTGGTTAAGGCATATTGGCGATTTTAAACTTATATTAATCAGAAATTATAATTACGTCACATCTTACTCACGATGTTTTCCTCCACCATACTTCAGCAGTGTGTAAATAAGCTTAGAAAGTACATATAGCTCGGAAAAGTTACATTAGTGCATGTGAGGCTGTTACCTTAACCTCCTGGTCACCATTACACTAACTAGTAACTGGTAATTGCACATAGTGGGTACAAATTATGAAATATAGAACTATGAAAAACAAGTAAATAATTCTATATAAGGCATAACATCACTCGGTGTTCAATGTGAATTTTCTTACTTTTGCACTAAGTCAAGGATTAGTCACTAGTGTCTAGCACTGGCTTGCTTCTTTCCTCTGAATCTGTTGTTCTATTCACTAAATTATATCATGAAGCAATTGTAAAAGAGAGACCATGAAATTTCCTGCCTATATTTTCCAAAGAAACACTCATTTTGTACCGAGTTTACTATTTGCCTAATCAATACACAGAATTCTATTTTTAAATAGGTACATCAATTTTTTGTTTGTGGCTTTCTAATATGTCTTAAATTTTCACAACTACTTTCGTTTATCTGAATGACAAATCTTTTAACAAACGACCTTTATTTGGTTCCAAATATTTAGTCATTTCAGTTTTAAATAAAAGAAAAGCTTAATTATTTTTCTTCTTCTTCCCTTAGATCTTCTACTCCTTCGGTGTGGCGTGTGGGTCTCTTGTCACCTTGGCTTCGTATAACAAATTCAACAACAACTGTCATTTTGATGCAGTCTTCGTCAGTTTTGCGAACTTCTTCACATCTGTTTACGCTGGTTTCGCCATCTTCTCCGTGTTAGGTTTCCAAGCTCAACTCATGGGTGTTAGAATAAGCGGTAAGTGTTATTTTTTTATTTAATTAATGATCCAAGTTATTGCTGACAAACCTTCTTACATTTCTAAGAGTTTGATATAATGATAATACAAATTGAATCGATTTTTTATCATACTTTCTAATATTTTATCCTGGGAAAATGAATTGTTTTTTTAACTCTAAGATATACGTTTAAATAAAATCTAAAAATTTATAATCCAATTACTACTGTAAACCTAAATATAATAATACTATATTCCGTTTAAATCAAAAGATTAATTCATGTTAAAGATTAAAAACTTCAACAGTAAATAATTCCACATTCACAAAGGATTTTTTTGACAGCATATAATAGGTACAAAGTATATAGAAACAATATAAAGGTACACATGAAATATTCGTATAGTTAGACGAATATTTCATATTTATTTATTTAAGACCAACCTACAAAACTTATCCATGCTAAAGATTCAGTTTAGTGAAACATCATAAAATATAGTCTCAATTAAAAGCTATCACGGCATGCACAAGGAAATTAATTTTTAAAAGAAAAAAATATGAAATTTAAAACTTGTAATTTATATATTTATACTTATGAGATTTGAGATATTTCAAATATTGTTTACAAATCGAATGGGACCTAAACTACTTCCCTGTAGTACACCACATCTGTTGTAACTTGAATCATATGAATATTGAATCATCTTCTGATTTTTATTTTATTTATTGTAAATAGTAACACATTGTTAACTCCCGAGCTAACATGGATTTGATAACTATCACGGGAAGTATTGAATTTTCGAACATAAAATATTAACTTATGTAAAGAATCTGAGAAAAGCTCGCAGGCTATTGCTCAGAAGTCGCGCCGCATAATTATATATAGCAGTAGATTATCTTTTCACACGATATTTGATAATATCTGAATAAAAAACAACGTTTGTTATTGTGCCGTTATATTTCACCTATAACTTTCAATACTCCCTTTGATCACGTAAACATAAATACAGGACAAAAATCCAGTCCATACATGTTAGCGATTAACTCAAGTTGATTAATCCTGGCGTTGCATTGCCGCTGGCTGGTAAACACTAGCAGAGAGCACACAATACCTACTATGAAACCCACTTAAATATTCAACCGTGCCATGCAATACTATTAAATTAATTCCCCGTTGTTTTGCATGTCAAATATTGAAATAGGTAATATGAAAGCCAATAGGATGTATACCACATTGTTTTGAAGCCTTTATATAGTTTGTACAATTGATTTTAATACTTATATCGACGTCATATAGGTTATATTATTCATTAGCATCAGAATTTCAGTTGTTCTACATATGTCTACAACACGGTACTACAATAATAAAGTTATTATTTGGCCATTATTGTTCAATATATCGAAGTGATCAATACCTACTTCATTGAGGCAGCTACAGTTCATTAAATATGGTATTTTAATTTTATATCGTCAAGTAGAAATCATATATCTTTTAATAATAATAATTCTTTTACTGAAGTTAAATCACGTTTTAACGAAAAACTGTAAATGTTGTAAAAATTACTAGCAAAAGCAGTAAGACCGCTTTTGTTGTTTACGGAACAGCTTTAAATATGAATTTAAATAAATATTTTTTATTTAATGTATTAAATTCTGATATATTGGATACCTTAGTAGGGCCAATCAAACCCAAGGGAATAACCTTACTGACCTAACCATAACTTCATCATTCAAAAGAAACATTTTAGATAGCTTCACTAAGAGGACTGACCGACAGACTGATACTATATATTCAAAATTTAGTTGGACGTTCAAAAGTGCCTGTAAAGGTCTAATTGGAATAAATGATTTTTGACTTTTGACTTTTTTTGGACTTTTTTTTTACTTTTGACTTTTAGAAATGGTAACTACGAAAATTATTGTAATTGTAGTGTGTAATGTTAATTATTTAGAAGTGTATGTCTCACTTTTCTGCCTAAGCTACGAGGTGACATATTTTTATCACGCGCGTAGTAATATAAATACAGCATGAGAGACGGTAATAAATATGTAAAAATTGAGTTTTACCTGCAGATTTTAAAAGACTATATTATTTTTTTAACATATTTCGTCCATGGTAATTATAAAAAACTGAAACCAAAACGTAAAAAATATTCGTGTACATTTTTTATGTGCACCAAACTAAGTCAGAAGCCGAGCTTAGTTATATCTCATCCGTATTTCGAAATTTTGATAAAAGGATTCGCAGTATTTCAGTCTAGCTAAAAAAAGGCTGATAAAAAGAGTTTTAATCAAACTCCAGCCAGTACCTGTGTACAAGGCCCTTCAATCCATTGCGAACACTCGATCCCATGTTGATTCCACTGTTACGAATGCAAGCCTTGTTTGTATTCTGTTTCAAGATAATGGATTGATTAAACAGTAAATATTTCATTCGGCCGCACTGTAGTGTGTTAGCGTTTTTGGTTACGCGAGTATCGGTTCTTTGTGCAGCTCGCTGCTTTTGTATTGGGAACTTTGAGGCATCAGAGAAACTGATACGTATAATATATCGCCTTGTTTTTTAAGATCAAAAGTCATGGACAAATTGTCAAATGGACCTTCAGTCTTTGGCAATGTAACAAAATTCTATTGTTACAATTTTTTTCGTGATCTGAGTGTTACAATGCAACCAGTATTTTTAGAAATCTTTGCATATGTTATATACTTTTTTATCAACGCGTTTTCAAATTCGAACAGTATTAGTACAACAATATCGTTCTATTTTGGTTAGATTCCAACGTTATGACTTCATCAAAACCTTTGTTTGTTCTGCCAAAAAACGCAACAATTTTACGACAAAACAAACGAGGGCCTCTTTCCATAAACAACAGGGATATTTGGCCTTGTGCAAGCCCCAAATGTTGTTGATATAAATCACTCGTGTATCTATTAATTGCTTTTTGGTCTGTCGATAAAGGTGTTATTGCTTTACGTAGCACCATAACAATGATGTACCTAAGACTTATCGCATGATAAACACTTTATATTGACTTGGAACCCACGTGCAATATTAGTGCTTTCATATGGACATGTAATAATATTATTTTGTATATCATTAATAACTTTGAAGATGATCTCGTAGTACCATGATCGATTAGTCATTATATATTGATTACGAATAATTGGCAATATTATGTTGAAACTTTGTTTCAACTAGGCCAAGAAAAACACTTTCGATTTAAAATGAAATGGAAAAAAGTCCACTTAGGACGTTGAATGACTTTGTAACTAACAAATTAAGCAGACCAAACCTACTGGTAGCAGAATATTGGCAATTAAGATTGTTGGAAAACTGTAAGAGAAAATTTTCTTCAGGTCCTACAGAAATAAGAAAATAGGACTCATTTTCCGATGAGGACGTAAGCCAATAAAAATCAATTACATTCTTGCTTTCAGATGTGGCGACAGAAGGACCTGGCTTAGCATTTGTCGTTTACCCCGAAGCGTTACTTCAGATGCCCGTCCCTCAGTTGTGGTCAATCTTATTCTTCTTGATGTTGTTCATCCTTGGTTTGGGAAGTCAATTCGCTGGCATTGAAGCGATCAATACCGCTATTGTTGATAGATGGCCACATTTAAGGAAGAATTATTGGAGGGTTTGTATTTTTTTCTTATTTGTGGTGTTTAAATATTCTGTTGTAATTTTTTGGCAGTTATGGTTTCTGATTTGATAATTTAACATTTGTGGTGAAAATAATTCCGCGATGATGAACACAAAGGAACATGAAAGCTAAAAACTAACCACCAACGAAGATGGTTTCGGAGATTATGTTGAAATAGACTCAAATTATAATAATCCAACTACTTATTTGCCCAAATCAAACTTATTGCAACTAATTCAGAGAGTTTCGAAATGGGAATATTCAAACCGATTTTGATTAGCCTATAATTAAAACTAAGACCTCGGTCTTCTTTATTTAAATTGTTAATGTTACTAACCTGAAGAATTTGTTTATTTTTATTGTAAACATGATACGATCAACAGGAGCCGAGCGACGAATAAAATGGCAATGGTTAATATTATATATATATTTGTCTTGTACTTGATGTAACCCGCTCAGAGCTTTAAACCTCCTTAGATATACATGATAGTCATTATAATAGTCTCTACAATAACCAATATTATTCTGTTCCAGGTTACTGCATTCACATGTACAGCATGCTTCTTATTGGGAATACCGATGTGTTTCAGCGGTGGAGTGTACTTGTTCCAACTTCTAGAGTGGAACACTGCCTCTTGGGCTATTCTGTTGATTGGTATGGCTGAGGTAAGATTGATTACATTTAGTGTGAAAACTTATATTATACAGCAGACCAAACCTACTATATTATACCTTATTTTAGTTGCGTTCATATATAAATTTGCCTCACTAGAGTGCCTCACTGATAACCAGCATGTAACAATGCTAACGTTGTATTTTGCTTTATAATTGAGGTTACCAAAAGCAGAATCCTTGCAATTTCTAACACATATTTGAATCCCTCTATCCAAAAATATCTTAGTTTTCAGAGACAACTAACAATGCATTTGTAATTTTTCACTGCTGCGGATGTCCATGGGATTACAATACTACCCAGGATTGCATACCATTAACTTACCTCACTTTGCGTTTAATTTTCTTTCCTCTTGGTTCTGTTTAAATAAATTCTTTATTTGCTTACATTTAAAATTGATATTTGAATATTCTCATATTTGCCATTTGTAATAGTCCTTTTTGGTTTTTATCGGTTAGAAAAGACGCGTGTCAAAATTTTTCCATGATGCTGTGACCACCTGGATTTAATGTACACGAATTATAAACTACTTTCTACTTTTTTCAGTGTGTTGCTGTATCTTGGAGTTACGGTATCAACAGAGCTATGAACGATCTCAAATCTATGGGCATGCCACTCAATAAAGTACTCCGTTTCTACTGGAAAGCTGTCTGGACAGTCATCGTCCCTATAGTCAGTGTTGTAAGTATTTTAATATTTTCTTTTTTATTCTTATATAATATTTGTCATCTTTATGTTACACTTAACAGAGCGTTTATTGTTATTAGTTTTATGTAATATGTTTTATTAAATAACATAAAAATCAAAGCCAAAATAGAACTAATTGACAAGGAAGATTTGAATCGATAGACAAAAACAGAAACAAAAGATATTCGAACACCGCTTGTAAAACACAATAAGAATTTTCAAAATGTGAATACGTTATACATTTTAATATTTCGTGGACATTAGGATAGGTATAATTAATATCTCTATCAGTTGACAATTTCTTCACTTGATCGTCAATTATTATGAAGAATATAAGTAATTATTAATCATCCTTTTGCTCAGCTTCTAACAATGTAGTAACAATCATTAAGATCGTATCATTGCCCGCACGTAAGTTGTTAAAACTGATTGGAATTAAAGATAACTGTTGATAAGATAATATTTTCATGAATAATGGAAAGTTTCTTAAGGTTCAGGTGGACTTTTACCCACAGGTGTTGAACCTCTTTGGGTTACTACCCAAGTAAAATGTCATCTAGTCACTATCTTAATTGTATAGTACTTGTTCTTTGTTGACGAATTTTTATGAAAGACGGTAGTCTCAATCTATACTGATCTATACTTATATTATTTATTATATATTTTTTTATTTAATGTTATAAAGCTGAAGAGTTTGTTTGTTTGAACGCGCTAATCTCCGGAAATACTGGTTCGAATTGAACAATTATTTTTATGTTTGTTAGTCCATTTATTGAGGAAAGCTTTAGGCTATAAAACTTTACGCTATGATCTGTAGGTTCTGAGCAGCGGGTGAAACTGTGAGAGTAGCTAGTTTTCAAATATATATAAAAATGGCGTATTTTGTACTCAATACTCTAAATGAAAGTAAAAGTATTTTCTTTCATCACGCAAATTCAGAATTTGATAAAATATAAAAAAAATCTGTCAGTTTTCCATTTTACCTTCTTTCACTTTAAGATCAAATTCATTAAATATATGTATGTAATCGCAAAAAACGATGTCATTGCCTGTCCTGATAAAAAAAATCGTAACACTGATAGACAAAGAAAATCTGTATAACATTCCTTCACACAAGTACCTCTACAGTCATCAATGTATGTATGTATGTACCATAAGATAATATTTAATTACGCACTTGAGTATTACAAGATAATTCTCACGCACGCAGACAATTAATCAATTAGATTAATTAGAGATAATTGTTGCCGTTGTGTTATCAATCGATTAACTTGTACTGGTACGTGGTTTACGAATTCCTTGTTAATTACTTGATGTTTAGATTACGTATATCATGATCATCATCAGCCTATAAGTGCCAACAGCTAGACAAAGACCTCTTCTCACTCGAAACTCGTTGGAGCATTAATCACCACGCTATCTCATGGCCGATTGACGTTATCAAACTTTTAGTAAATAGAAATCATAAGGCCAAGCTTCCTCACGATGTTTCCTTCACCGTTGGTTAACAGGCTTTAAATTATATTAGAAAGTACATACAATTTGGAAAACCTCACATTGGTACTAGACAGATTTTAAAACTTTGCCCTCATGTATAAAAAGCGGGAGCTTTTTTTAACCTTCTGGCCACCATGACAGTATATTTACTGCTGCTTACTTTTAGTGGTGTTTAGACAATTTCTTTCCTAGCCCGTTTGTGTTAAAACTTAATTTTTTCTGTCTCCTGCATTAAATTCACTGAAAACGTATTTTTTTTCTTCTTAAATATTTCTGATTTTATCCGTCACGGGATCTAAGACGTCTAAGACCGTGACTTACTGTATTTTGGTGTGTTTATTGTTGTTTCTCCTGAAATAATAATTTTATATTGTATATGCATGAAAATTATATATTTGATCTTTCAAGAGTTGAAGCAGTCTTAGAAGACTGTGGAAGGCGTCTTAATCTTTACTGGTGTAGGCGCAGAAGGCAATTTAGTTTATAAGTCAGAACTTGACTGCATGTGCATATTATTTTCCCTAATCTCATTTACTTATATTATTCGAAGAGGAAGTTAGTTTACAAGACCCCTAAAAAGGTCAATTAAGGGATCAAGCCTTAATGTGCTGTTCAACAAGAAAGATAAAACATTTCCAACTTTCTCAGCATCGATTTTCTTTGATCAATTTGTCGAATAAAATTTAAGAAAGGAAAGAAAAAAATGGAAAATTATTTGATCAAATAATTTCTTAAATTCCTTTTCACCTTGCAGGGTATCCTGATCTTCATTCTCTACGATTGGACGACTCCTTCATATGAAGGTTACGTATTTCCATTGTTCGCTGATTTGCTGGGCTGGGCTGTTGGTCTATCAACACTCGTCCTATTCCCAGTTGGCGTTGGATGGGCCTTGTATCATGGATATGTAAGTATTCTCGATTGTTTTTAAACCTTTGTTGTTAACTTTTACCCTTCATAAAATCTGAATTTTCATAAAATCATACATAACAACATTTGAACAAATGAGCTCCCTGGCCAGAACCATTTACGTGTAAAATGGAAAACCGAATATTACAACGCAAATGCTGGGAGTGATGTTAAATTACATGCAAATAAACCTAGTAATGGAAGATCAAAAGGAAAAACGCACAAAAAAAATAAAGTATTTAATTTAAACTTTTAATTCATTTCAATTACAGAGAGGCAAAGAATTGTTCACACCAACTGAGGCCTGGCAACCAGCAAACAAGGCTCTCATCGCTCCTCGCTCAGACTCAATCGTAACAACAGATTCCGTACATCAAGGACCATATGACAATATGGGATACATAATGTGAACATATCTTAATATAAATAATACTAACACGAGTATCTAGTCAAATGAATTTGGTTATACTGAACCAAACTCAATATACTAGCATTAAGTTCAAAATACATCGTGGAAGCGACTTAAAAAGAAAACAATAGTCGCATTTCAGGGCTCAAATCTGCATCGCCAGTTTTGTAACTGTTGATTTGTTTTTGCAAATTGAGCCCTATAATTTATGGCAAATGTTTAAAATCGAACAGCAATGATATGCTATCTATTTTGTTGCCTGTATAAACTTTGTAAGTCGGAAGACAGAACATTTCAGAGTGATTGAGAGTAATCTCCGACATTGATGGTGCTAAAAATTAAATACCTATAATGTTAGCAACTCATGATAGCTCTGGTAGTTCTTCTTCAGGTCAACTTAGCCATCAGATCGGTAATACTGCTGGCATCAACAGCAGAAAAAATGTCTAACAAAATGACGTGTAATATAACAATCATTAATTTAAACTTTGCAAATTTGATGTATTTTTTACTTCTGTAAAAAATATTTGTAATTAATTTATATGCTTCAAACTATGACGAAAAATCTTTTTTTAGAAACCCGTTTGTGGACTTAGTAACGTAAGAATACAAAATGGCTTCGATAAAATAGGTGCAGCGCATATATAAAATCGAATTTTAATTTTTCGTTGCAACTATTTTAAATTAATCGTAATGAAAATAGAAATCTGTATATAGGGATCTTAGTTTAGTGATATGAACCTAGATTACCAATCATCATATAAAAAGCAGATAAAAATTTATAAACATAAAGAAAACGTACTTGCTTTTTGTATAATGAATTCATTTAATTCTAGATTTATTTTCACGATAATTTAACATTTTTGTATTTATTATAATTTTATAATATAAATATATAATAAAATATTTATTAAAATACAAGCACGTGTTTTTTTATCCTACTTTTTATAATCTGTTAAAGTCCGTATAAAATCTGTTCAAAGCTTAGTTTTGTTCGGTTATTTACAGACCTATAGTTACTTATATAGTTTGGAAAAATCTTTACTTGTCTAATAAAGTCTATAAGAATACCTAAAAACAGGTAATCCTTTAAGGTGTTTTCAAATTAACAATAAAGTTAAGTAAAACTTAATCTTTAGAAAACAATATTGTATAAATACCTGTGTATAATAATTTAGAGCCGAAAATAAATTGATGTTCAATAACATACTATGCTTTTTTTATTCAAACATTCATTGAAATATAAATCAAATTTGTATTACTTCTCCAACCTTAAAACATATTATACTAATTTTCTTAGCCTCCACAAATCACAAAACTTACCACTTATATTTTCAGTTATCAAAACTCACATAAAAAGGTGTATGTACTTTTTATGTGAGTTTTGTAAGTAGTACAAACAAAAACACAGACATTTACTTTGCACATAATCTATCAAAACGGTCGAATGGCTTGAAGCAACTACAATCAGTCTCACGGGACTTCGAAAAACAATTACATTTACTTTTAAAAACAAAACAATATTCTGTCCTCAGTCTGTCAGTAAGAGCAGTGAACTTATCGGAGCTATCGTTAGACTACATGAAAAATCACTCACTCAAATGGAGGGGCAGACAAACTTTTACAAAGAAAATGGTGCTCCACTGAAATAGTGATAGCCTGAGTTTTGTTACAGGATATAGATATTAAGTTTAAGATAGTTTATTGAATATTCTGGTAATGTTGTATTTATTGATTTGGGTTTTTAAAAATAATTGCTGGGCTTTAAGTTAATCTTAATTTTGACAATGCCGTAGCAGCTGTAGGTTGCGTTGCTACGCTGTAGCAATTTTCGACAGAACGAAAATAAGTTTTGAAATGTTTTTACAGATACCTATCATATGTAAATGAATCGACTTATAACTAGTGAAATAATTTTAAGCAGAAACCCACTAGCATGTAAAAGAACTGTAATCGAAGTTGCATAAACTGTCCATCCAACTCTAATCAACGACCGCAATAGGCGACCGCACTACGGGCGTCGGGGATCAAGGGACGCTCTCTGGCCACCGTAAGCGCGGGTCTACGGTCGGCGAGTAAGGGCAGCTCGCCGCCCGACCAGAACCAGGCCCGAGCATACGGCGCGTAGCGTTCGGCGCGCGCCTCAAAGATCCAATAGACCACCACAGGCGGGACCCTATAGGGCTGATGTTCAGCTGGGGTTGCGGGGTAAGCGCAATGAGGCACCGCGACCTCGGCCCAGAGCAGGAGAAGGAACAGGGGGGTTTTTAGTCAGTAAGAGTCTGACACTCCCCCCGAAGTCATTTGATGATTTTGAAAACTCCAATCAACAACAAAGGAGAAAATCCTAATGCAAAAAATATATATACGATAGTTACTATTAAAACACGTATTATCACTAGTGGACTTTCAATAAAAAAAAGTCAGAGTCCGCAAGAGATTACAAAGTTAAGGCCATACAAACTTATGTAACATGTTCGTACTCTCAAATAAGTCTGTCTGAAGAAACGTAGTGCTGAACTTGTACGTTAAAACCTGCTTTACCGTTGCAATAACTTCATTCGAACTATTGCCCTTGTAACTGTGCCAAAAAGCATAAGAAATGCTTTTCCTAACTTACTTTCGAGACTTGTAAACAAAAGATTTTTGTTTATATTTTTTTTTCAGGAATTTTATTAATAAGAATGTGACTTGTGCAGAACCTTATAAATATTAAAAACAACCGTAGTGAATTGAAGTTAGAGATTTATATAAACTGAAGCATCGAATACATTATCATAAATTAAATACGATCCTATTACGCCTTTAATTGTTGTTCTTATTTACAATTATATCGTCACTTCTAGGTGACTTTATTTTGGTCTATATATATACATATTTACAAATAATGTAACCAAAAGGTGTAAAAGCTGGCCACATAAAATTTCTACTTCATGGTCAAGAACGTTTTAATAAAAAATATTAAAGGAAATATTTCTCACTTAACAAAACAAACACTCAAATGACGGTACCTCCAAATTTTGGAGAGGTAAACTTAATTCGAAGAAGCACTTAATATCTACTTAATCCAAAAGCGACGTGTACTCAAGTCAATTCCTAGAAACGTCCATCAGACACCGAAAAAATAAAACCCGATAGCATCTAGAAATTAATTAAATTTGAAAACACTTCGCAGCCAAGCGCAATATTAATCCGAACTCATCGGAGACCCTACAATCTCGGATAAACTCTCATTTTGAATCAACCACCTAATCCCTCTAAGATTGAACAAAATTAATGTGAATTCTAACCATAACAGACGTTCGTAAAGTATCCTTTGGGTTTTACTTGATCGAAATTTTATTATCTTCGCCTTTATTTTTGGGTGACTTTCATAACTCGATACGACTTGATGACGACGCCGTCCGATCTTGGCCCCGCGTTACTCGGAATATCGTTATGATTGCTTTCAACTTTTTAATTAAACGCCTTGTCAAGATAAAGTGAAAGAAATGTTTGAGTTGTTTTACGCTTTCTGGCAAAAAACTAATTTAGATAGGCGATCGGCGGGGTACACTGCTTAGGGTTGCGAAGGGTTTACTAATTGGAATTGAAATTATTCCTTAAACTCTTTTGCTTGATTGTTAAAGTTCATTATTACATGCTTATAAGTTCCTGTATTTTAGCATGTGTGATATTTGGATCAAAAAATACATGATAAAGTATAAAAGGGTGATTTGTTATTCGATTCATATTTGATTATTGAACGGCCAAAAAATACCAGTTTCAATTACTCCACATGTCAGTTGAAGCCAAAAACGGTAATCAAAGTGGGATAACATTTATGAATTTCATGCTAACCTGACGTGAGATATGAGTTTACTAAAAATATTTACACAACCTATTTTTCAACTGTCTGATAAAAAAAAACGTTGGCACAAAATTCAACCCTCGAGCAAATTTAAAAAAATAATTTGATTTTCAAAAAATCGTTATGTGGTTTGATTTTCGTACAAATAGTTTTTTCCTATAAGTCTTTGAATTTACTCTTTTTATGAATACTGTGTAACTGAAATTTAAGAAAGAATTATTTATTGTAATTGCAAGTCAGAGAGAGAGCTATGCTTCAGCAGAAATGGGCCGACTGGACCGGCGTGATACTTCGGCCTCACGGAATACCGGCTTGAAGTTACAGTTTCGTTGTATTTCGCCATGTGACTGAGGTTACCAGGGTCCTTATCCTTATCCCTTCATACTCAATCCTCAAATCCCCTTTCTTTAAATCCTTAATAACCCTCAAGGGCTGGACAACGAACTTGGATTATATTCTCTTGGGATTATAAGTGTTCATGGGTGGCGCCAATGACTTACCATCAGGTAATCCGTCCGCTCGTTTGCCAACCAATGCTCTAAAAACTTCCCTTGTCAAAATTAATACCCATTATTTCATGAAATTCACGTTAATTTCAAGTTTAATGTTTAAGTTAAAGTTTATGTATATATTTCCGCTTGACATTTCAATTAAGTTGAACCGTCAGTTGTTGGAAAAGGTCACAAGTAGGTTTTTACTTGTTTTGTTTATTCCTGTTAACTTTTGGTGCCTATGTTTGTCAACATACCGTCATCGCAACCAGTATTTTTCAAATTATTCATTTTTATCATTTCGGAGAAATGCCAATTTAAATAACGTTAAAACAAATAAACACATTAGGTATCTTCATGAGGCGTATAATTTTTATTTCAGCATTTTCGATATGGTATTATTTGAAAATAAAAACCAAAAGTGATTTGTAAACATTTCCTATTTGTATGTTACACATTTTTTGTTTTATGAAACATACTATAATGTCAAATAACTTCAGTAAACACTTCGACCATCACCTATCCTTTAAAAAGACATATGTACATGGCTTTATATAACGAAAAAAAACTTTCAATTCATAATATTACAGTTCATTTTGTAATATTCCGAGTTCTGTCTGTTTATCTAAAGTTTGGCTATTGTTACCTCCGTTATAATGCCCGAGTGTTTCAGCTTCGTTTGCCCAAAACTTTAGCCGTCGCATATGCAAGTCTGGCAGTCAGAGTCAGAGCGTTAAGTAAGCAAGATCCGTTCACCTTATAAGCGTTTGCATATTATAGTCAACGTCAATTAGAATAATATCAAGTTTATTGTTTTCTGAGATCTCAATTCTTAGCAAAGCTACGTGCATAAATTTTATCTTTTTTTTTATCATCTGGTCATCGGGGTGGGCGAGAGGTGGTGCCAGACTCTGACTAAAAACCTACCCGTTCTGTATCCTGCTTGGAGCCGGGGCCGTCTAGTGCATTATTGTGTAATGGCTAAGAGTGTAACTCCGATGTGACGATTGTAACTTAATATCGTTCCAAAATGATTTGAAACATATTAAGGCATACGAACATTGAGTATTTTATGGAGACAACTTAGACTCAAAACCATAACAAATAATAATAATAGCTAAAACATCAAAACTGACATT